AACAATAAATCAAGCACAAACAAGAATCATCAATCAATGGTCATTAATATCCCTCAATGTCAACGGCCTCAACTTGCCTATAAAAAGACACAGACTAGCAGAATGGATATGAAGACAGAACCCTTCCTTCTGCTGCATACAAGAAACACATCTCAACATCAAAGACAGACGTTATCTCAGAGTAAAGGGTTGGTAAAAGATCTGCCAATCAAATGGCCCCAAGAAACAAGCAATCCTAATATCTAACAAATTAGACTTCAAATTAAAATCAATCAAAAGAGATGAAGAAGGACACGTCATAATCATCAAAGGATAAGCACATCAAGATGAAGTCTCAATTTTAAACATCTACGCCCCAAATACAAAGGCACCTACATTCATGAAAGAAACATTACTAAAGCTCAAAATGCACATAAAATCTCACACACTAATAGTAGGAGACTTCAACACTCCGCTCTCACTGCTAGGCAGGACCTCCAGACAGAAACTTAACAAAGAAACAAAAGAACTAATAGAAGTTATGACCCAACTGGGTTTAACAGACATCTATAGAACATTCCACCCAAATACAAAGGGATATACCTTCTTCTCAGCACCACATGGAACCTTCTCTAAAATTGAACACATAATAGGAAACGTAGCAAATCTCCACAGATACAAAAAAATTGGAATAACCCCCTGCATCTTATCAGACCACCATGCATTAACATTAGAATTCAACAATAACACAAATCGCAGAAACCCTACAAATTCATGGAGATTGAACAATGCAAAATTGCACCATCCCTGGGTAAAGGAAGAAATAAAAAAAGATATTAAAGACTTCCTCGATTTCAATGAGAATGAAGACACAACATACACAAAATTATGGGACACTTTGAAAGCAGTGCTGAGAGGAAGTTTATAGCACTAAGTGCCCTTCAGGAGGCATCACCATAACTGACTTCAAGCTCTTATAGAGCTATAGTCCTGAAAACAGCTTGGTATTGGCACAAAAATAGGCAGGTAGACCAATGGAACCGAATCGAAAGCCCTAATTTTAACCCACACACCTATGAACACTTGATTTTTGACAAAGAAGCTAAAACTGTACAATGGAAAAGAGAAAGCATCTTCAACAAATGGTGTTGGCATAACTGGGTACTGGTATGCAGAAGACTGCAGATAGATCCATGTTTATCGCCTTGTACAAAACTTAAGTCCAAATGGATCAAAGATCTCAACATAAATCCAGCCACACTGAAACGTTTAGAAGAGAAAGTGGGAGATACTCTTCAACGAGTTGGTACAGGAGACCACTTCCTAAACATAACACCAGTGGCACAGACACTGAGATCAACAATTAACAAATGGGACCTCCTGAAACTAAAAAGCTTCTGTAAGGCAAAGGACACAGTCAACAAGACAAAAAGGCAGTCCACAGAATGGGAAAAGATATTCACTAATCCTACATCTGACAGAGGGCTAATCTCCAAAATTTACAAAGAATTCAAGAAACAAGTCTCCAAAACACCAAAGGATCCAATTAAAAGGTGGGGTACAGATCTAAATAGAGAGTTCTCAATAGAGGAGGCTAAAATGACAAAGGGACTCTTAAGAAAGTGCTCAACATCCTTAGCCATCAGGGAAATGCAAATCAAAACAACTCTGAGATACCATCTTATTCCTGTCAGAATGGCTAAAATCTAAAACACCGAAGACAATTTATGCTGGAGAGGATGTGGAGAGAGGGGAACACTACTCCACTGCTGGTGGGAGTGCCAACTCGTACAGCCTCTTTGGAAATCAGTATGGAGATTCCTCAGGAAAATGGGAATTAACCTACCACAAGACCCAGAAATTCCACTCTTAGGCATATATCCAAATGAGGCAAATTCATACAGCAAGGGCATCTGCTCCACTATGTTCATAGCAGCATTGTTTGTAATAGCCAGAACCTGGGAGCAACCTAGATGTCCCTCAACTGAAGAGTTGATAGAGAAAAGGTGGTACATTTACACAATGGAGTATTACTCAGCAGAAAAAAACAATGGAATCTTGAAATTTGCAGGTAAATGGATAGCACTGGAAGAAACCATCCTGAGTGAGGTAACCCAGTCACAAAAAGACAAACATGGTATGTACTCACTCATATATGGATTTTAGACATGGATCAGGATAGTGCCAGTCTGCACTTCCACTGATAGAGAGTCTGGGAAACAGGAAAGAACCTAAAAGATATGCATATATGCATAGTACCCAAGAGAAGAGGATTGAGACAAGATCCTCTGAATGGATGGGGAACATGGCAAGGGGTGGGGAGGAGTGAGAGCTGGGAAGAAGAGAGGGGGAGAAGAGGAAGAGAGAGTAGGTTATGGGGGAACAGGAAGTTGAGGGGGTGGGGGTAGAATAGGGGGAAGAGGGAATCATAGGTTAGAAGACGGATCAGGCACCAGTGATCTAAAGGGATAACACCAATTGGCAAGCTAAGCAATAGTGGAGAAACCACCTCGAATGCCCATTCCTGATAATGAACTTGATGTCTATAACCATCTGGGAGCCTTCATCCAGTGATTAATGGAAGCAGAGGCAAACACACAATTAAGCACTGATCTGAACCCAAGGAACCCAGTGACAGAGAGAGAGGAGTGATGAGCAAGATGGCAAAGAATGGGCTGGCAAAACCAGCAGAGACAGCTGATCTGAACAGGGGAGAGCTCTTGGACCCCAGACCGACAGCGGGGAGGGCAGCATGGGACTGATCTGGACCCCCCAAATGTGAGTGTCAGCGAGAAGGCCTGGGCAACCTATGGGGCCCTGAGCAGTGGATCAGTGTCTATCCCTGGAATACAAACAGTCATCGTGTGCCCATAGCACAAAGAGGGATGCTCTCTCAGCCTGGACTCTTAGGGGAGTGCCTGGACCCTACCCGGAGTGAAATGACAGACTCTAGATATCCCCTATGTGGAAGGAATTGGCAATAGGGTGGGAGGCTGGGGGGGGGAAGGGGAGTGCGGGAGGAGGGGAGGGAGAGGGAACTGAGATTGACATGTAAAACAAGCTATTTAAAATTAAAATAAAAAATGATAAAAGAAAAAAAAGAAATTTGAGTCACTAAAGAAAGAAATTAAAGAAGATACCAGAAAATGAAAAGGTCTCCCATGCTCTTGGATAGGTAGGATCAACATAGTAAAAATTGCAATCTTACCAAAAGCAATCTACAGATTCAAAGCAATCCCTATCAAAATACCAGCACAATTCTTCACAAACCTTGAAAGGACAATACTCAACTTTATATGGAAAAACAAAAGAAAATATCTTTTACATTTACACAATGCACAGGTAAAAAACAATAACATCTTGAAATTTGCAGGCAAATTGATGGAACTAGAAAAAAAGCATCCTCAGTGGGGTAACCCAGATTCAGAAATACAATCATGGTATGTATTCATTCATAAGTGGATATTAGATGCAAAGCAAAGGATAACCAGGCTACAATCCACAGCCTCAGAGAAGCTAGGTAAAAGGGGCAACCATAAGAGGGACACACATGGAAGCCCCCAGGAAGGGAAAATATTTAACAACTCCTGAGTAAACTGGGAGGGGTGAGAAGGGAGAAGATGAGGGATGGGAACATGAGAGATCAAGAAGACAGAGCTGGGGGAGGGACTGAGCGGGAGCCCTTATGTAGTTAGGGAGAAATTTGGTGCTAGAGAAATTCTCAGATATCCATAAGGATTACTCCTGCTAAGACTCCTAATACTAGTGGAGAGGCTATCAGAATGGACCTTCCCTTTTTATTGGATTAGTGATTACCCCAATTAACATCATAAAACTTATTTCGATTAACTGATGGAAGCAAGTGCAGTTACCCACAGCCAATCACTGGGCTGAGCTCCTGGAGTTTGATTGAAGAGGGGAAGGAACAAATGAACAAAGGGGTCAAGAACATGATGGGAAAAAACACAGAGACATCTGACACAAGCTAGTGGAAGCTCATAGACTGTGGACTGACAGCTGGAGAACCTGCATGGGATCAAGTTAAACCCACTAAATGTGGGTGACAGTTATGTGACTTGATCTTTTGGGGGGCAGGGGCCCTGGCAATGGCACCAGGACCTATCTCAGGGGCATGAACTGGCTTTTTTGGTGCCCACTCACTGTGGTGGGATACCTTTCTCAACCTTGATATAGATGGAATGGTTTTGGTCCTGCCTCAACTTGGTATGGCAAATTTTGTTGACTTCCCAAGGAAGGCCTTATCCCCTCTGAGGACTGTATGGAGGGTGAGTAATGTAGGAGGTGGGTAGTGGGAGGAGGGGAGGGAGGGGGAACTGAGGCTGGTATGTAAAATGAAAATTAAATTTTTAAATAAAAACTACCAAAGAACAGTTATGCATGCATATGGAGAATGGAACCCTTGCATACTGAAGAAGAAAAGTAAATTAGTATGGCTATTTTGGAAAACAGTACAAAGGCTTCTCAAAAAGTTGAAAACAAAGCTACTATCTGATCTACAGGATATACATCTTAAGAGAAAAGAAATTATTATGTTGAAAATGCTGAGGAGATGTCTGGTCTTCCATGTTCTCTCTATCACTGTTTACAACAGATAAAAAATGAAGTAATTGCCTCTGTGGAATTAAAGAACAGAGTGAGAAAATGTGATACACACATTTGCAACAACATGAATGGAACTTGGGGTTTATCCACATTAAGTAAAAGAAAAAATATCCAGGAACAGAAAGACAAGTACAACATGATCAAAATAAACAAGGTACTCCATAAATATCTTTAACTATTATGTATCAGTTAAATATAATTTTAACATCAAAACATAAAAACATTACAAAAACAAAATCTCACTTGAATTACTCCTTCCAGAATGGAATTACACACTGAAACAAACATTTTTCTTCACTTATTTCTAAAATGATAATTGCTGGGAGCCAACACATGATCAAATTTGTAAGGTTTCTTCCTAAATTTAAAGAATATAGTGACAAAAAGAAATCACATACTACAAATTATGTCTTTGTCTGATGATGTTGACTCATTAAGTTCTCAGTCACTGTTGACGATGGTGTGGGCCCCAGTGTTGATAAAGGGTTAAGCATCTGTGTTGATGATGGTTCGGGTGTGTTCTCTGACCTAGAGATACCAATACACTGTTACAGAAATAAACTGAGTACTGACATAACACTCCCCTTCATGGTAGCACATTGTAAGAAAAGAGTATCAAGTAGAGTTTGAGAGATTCATACACAAATTTTCTTGAGTTTGAGCAAGTTACTACAACTTGATTATTGTTTGTACTTTAAAGTACTGAGAGCAATAGTTCGTAATCTGTTTCCATGGAGACCATAGTCTCTATATTCCAAAACTTATCATCTGTTCCACAAATCTCGGATTCATACATGTAGATAATTAACATATTCCCTCAAGTATAAAATAGGATTTAAAAATGACAACATTCAAAGCAGAATTCTTAATCCTCCCTCCCAAGTTTGCTTGCTCTCTCTATTCCTGTACAGATTGATAAAGTTGTCTTTAATGTTAAAACACTTACCTTAAGTAAGATAATTCTTTCTTCTCACTCTTTCTCCACACCTGTCACTGAGGAAACCTTTCCATCCTGAATATGACCTTAACCCCTCCTCCTCTTTTCTACCTCTTCAGTCTAGACAGTTACCATCTGTCTTCTGTATCATTTGACTACAGTCTCTTCACAATGTTCCTTCATTATTGTCTTCTGAGACTTCTCTTCCAGCTCCCACTGAGAGCCTTCTAGATTATAGATCAGATGTACATGTTTCTTTGGTTTATACATCTTCTTGGATTGAGATGGTGTAGAACAAAACCCCACAGATTATTTAAATTTAAAGAACACACAATGACAGCAAAATAAATCACATGCTCCCAATTATGTTTATGGTTTCTACTGTCATGGCTTAGTATCTTATTTCTATATATCTTTCCATCATGTATTGCTGTCCACCAGGAGAGCTGGACAAATGGGTGGGTGTTTTACTATATTAATCCTATAAAGTAAGATCTCAGTTTCACCTTATGTCTCAGTTGGACCTATCTCAAGCTTCCAGTCTACATTTCTCCTTCGACACCTACCGTTCTAGGCCTTAAGCTGTCCATAAAACTTTGTTCTCAATAAAGAATCTTTTCCCTTCAGTTTTCAAGACAGGTTTTCTCTGCATAGCCCTGGCTGTCCTGGAACTCACTTAGTAGACCAGGCTGGCCTGGACCTCAGAGATTCAGATGCCTCCCCAATGAGGGGATTAAAGGCATGGACCACCACTGTCCCCAGAGAATAAAGAATTTTAAAACTAGGCTGGAGTGATGGCTCAGTAGTTCAGGGCATTTGTTACTTGTTCAGAGGACCCTGTTTCAGTTCCCCGTACCCATATGGAGGTTTCATAATTGCTTATAACTTGAGTTTTGACACCCTCTTCTGGCTTCCATAGACAACAGATGTACACAGGCGAAACACTTGTAAATATAGCATAATAATAAGCAAATGTTTTCTTTGAAAAACTTATACTCAGTTCCCCATAAAAAGAAATACTTGCCAACAGTCTACTTTTATGACTATTTGATGTCAGAATCTGCTGAGCCTATGGAAATAAGATTTTTCTTCAATATTCTCTTCATGATGAACTTTCCCAGTCCTAATTGGAATATTTTAAAAATAGTAATACTAGCTAGTTTCTCTGTCACATCAAGTTATCACATAGCTTACCTTTTCTTTTTGAAATTAATATAGAGAACAGTCCCATAGATGATACATAAAATAAACAGAATAATGAATACAATTGCAGTTTTCTTCCACTCTGAAGAATGATTCATTGTACCTGAAAAACATAAGCCAGAACATATTCTTTCTCTGGTTGCATTATACTTCTTTCTTGGGGTCCTTAATTTATAATGTTTTTGATTGGCTACAGATGACTGACATTTCAACTTGTTATATAAGATGCCTTCTCAATACCACTGGAAAGAAAAGGAAAATGCTAGATAGTAGTTTCTTCTTTTCCTGAATATAATTAGTAATCTCCATACCTTTAAGCAAGGCACTATGGCTTTGCCTTTGACTGTACAGATGTGATTTTATCTATTTTGTACTATTATATTTCACTGAGATACAACATAACCATTTTACCTGCGTGGAAGAGATTGAATGTGAAGAATTTGACCCTGACATATGAACTCCTTTCTGAAGGCAATTCCAACAAAGCAAAATAGCTTCACAAGGATTTTAGCAGAATCAGGAATTCACAACCCTAATATGTATTATAGAACTAAGCAATTATGAACCATCTTATGAACACCTGAATTTTAATAAATAATAAAAACTAACAATAATAACACAGCCAACAGATTAACAAATGATACTTATAATATTTAATTCCTATAACCAAATGGTTAGAATTGGAAAAATTGTCCAGGAAAAGAAGTTGGCCAACTTCAGTTTCAAAAAACAAACATAACAAAAATGTTTATCTTTAATACTTTTGAGACTCCTTAAAAACAGCATTAAAATATAAACTGTTAAATGAAAAAGATCAAGAATATTGACATAGCCTTCAATGACAAAAACTTGTGAGGAAAGAGACTTAGAAAACATGTAATGTGAGCTCTGAAGGTGAAGGAAGAAAACAAATAGTGAAACAGAAGATGACAGAAGACTTTCAAGTTATTATTTCCAAATATACTTAAAAAGATATGACTCCATGAACATAAATATTGAGGAAAAGTTTTTGAAAGAATGAGTGGCCATGCAAGGGTGCAGAAGGGACTCAGTATTCCACACTGTGAAATACTTAAGTATTTCTTACTGATATATTCAGGGAAACTGGAAAATCCTTGTCTTCAGTTGTGTATCCATCCTCTGGTTACACCACAGTCATCAGTGGATGGTGCCACTGGTGGCTCTAGTTCAACTAAGAGTGTCGCAAGATAAGATCAAAAGTCATGAGCCTAGGAGAGTGAGTAGTGGGGAGAAGAAATGTGGAGGTGAGATGATTGGAATGGAAGGGAGATAAGAAAGAGGAAGAGACCCTGACCTGTCAAAGGTTAACTCTTGAATCCCAGGCATCAGCCTGGGAATCCAGCATGGGACTGATCAAGACCCCCTGAATGTGGGTGTCAGTGAGGAGGCCTAGGTAATCTATTGAGCCTTGGGCAGCAGATCAGTACCCATCCCGAGTATACACACGGACTTTGGACTCCCATCCAACAATGTGAGGTGCACTCTCACCCTGAACTCTTGGGGAAGGGTCTAGGCCCTGCCCTATATGAAATGACAGACTAAGGACACCCCCATGGAGGGCCTCACCCTCCCTGGGGAAATGAGGGGATAATGGGAGTGGGCTGGGGGGAGGGCACGGGAGGAGGGGAGGGAAAGGGAGAGGGACCTGGAACTGACTTGTGAAGCAACCTTGTTTCTTATCTAAATTTAAACTGAAAAATAAAAAAAAGAAAGAGGAAGAGACAGAAAAGAATCAAAATGCATTATATGTGTGTGTTCAATTGCCAAAAATATAACTTAATTAACAAAATGAATGATTTTCATTTTAAGTTGAAAGATTAAATTAAAAATATGCTTCTCAAAAGAAGGAAAAATTCTATGAGAGAACTTGAAGAAAATATGTGCACGATCTCTCGGATAATATAAGGAAAAGAAAAAGTCAAGGAATTAAAATGAAGTAGAAGCCACCCAGATGTTTTAATGTAATTTTGACGAGAAGTTTCTAAAACAAATCAGTTGAATTAAAAGGGGGAAATTCCCCCCATGGAATAAGAAAACATTTGAAATACTAATGATTAGTGGTTCTCTTTGGTTTCTGGGTTAATGTGACCAAATTATGGAGAATTGCATCTTTCTCACTAGTCCTCTGTTATAACAACCAAATGTCAACATTATATCCTAATATTAGAACAAAGTAGACCAGGTCTCCTTACTAAATTATATCTTTATAGGTTCTCATTTCATTCTCATTGCAGGAATTCTATGCAAGTTGTCAATATATAGAAACAGGAACAAGATTTAAAGCTAAAGGCTTACTGTACACTATGTCATCAAGTGAGGGCATGGAAAACTCACCAGCTTGTATTTAGGCACAACAGGGAAAGAAAACAATACACAAACCTTCCTTATTCTTCTCTTGATTTGCAACAAACTGCTTGCCCTGTCAATGTATAATTTGAAGAAAGATTATATTGCTTGATTTTATTTTAAAATTCTTGGAGTATTATAATACTTATCTTTAACACTTACAGTATAATTTATATAAGTTGGGTGGTCTATTTAATTTTCTAAGCTTTGTTCTCCCTTGGAGAATAGTTTGAATACCTTTTAGGCTCTGGTAACAAACCTCTGCATTTATCTGTGATGGTTTGATAGCAATGGCTCCCATAGACTCCTGACTGGGCCAAAGGGAGAGGCACTATTAGGAGGTGTAATATGTTTGGAGAAAGTGTGTTACTGGTGATCTTTGAAATCTCATGTTCAAGCTAGTGTGGCAGTCTCTTCCTGCTGCCTCTAAATCAAGATGTGGAACTCTCATCTTCTTCAGTATCATGCCTGCCTGCATGCCACCATGTCCCACCATGACCAGAAAGAACTCAACCCCTGAAACTGTACACCAGTCCCAATTAAATGCTTTTCTTTAGAAGAGTTGTCACGGCCATGGTGTCTCATTACAGCAATAGAAATCCTAATACAGAAGCTGGTGCCAGGACTGAGGTAATGCAGTGGTAGGCCTGACCATGACTTTATTTGTAGAAATGTGGCTTTGGGGACTTTGGATTAGGAAAGAAATGATTTGCTTTAGTGGGGCTTAATGACCCATACTAGTAGGAGCATGGAAGACAGTGGTACTGAAGGTGGTTTGAACTGTTGGAGCCTGGTTCAAGAGGTTTCAGAGGAGAAGAAATTTAGTATGTGACTTAGAGACTGTTCTTGTCATATTTTGGCTAAAATGTGGCTGCCTTTTGCCTTTTCCATAAAGTCTGCCTTAGATTAAAGTAAAGAGTTTGGGATGATTTACATTGGGAAAGGAAATCTCAAAACACAGACCCTGTCATGCAGTTACTAGTATTTACTCTTGTATAGATTTATAATGAAAAGAAGCAAATTGGCCAAGTAAAAATACAAAATGTACAGTTTTTAAGGGGAAAGGGCACCAGGAAGTGGAATAGAACTAAATTGCATGTTCAAGGAAATAAACAGATTAAAGAGCTATGGTGTTATCTTTCTTGCACAAATGAAGCCTGTCTGGGGGTCAGAGAATGGAGCTTGCCACTAGCTAACCATAGAGGTCTGGACGTCTGTACAGAGAGTCAGGAAGTGACATAACTTAGTAGTAACAGTATACAAGCAAGGACAAAGAGGAAATTGCTCTCTTCTCTGTGGAGATGCTTTGGAGGTGAGGTATGCTGTGGCTTGCTCCTTCTTTCTGCTCTCTCAGCATTTCCTTCTGACTCAGACAAATTAAGGACTCTATTTACAAAGAGCTGTTAAATGTAATAAAAAGAGTGGTGACCTCAGGGCAAGACCCCTCCCAGCTAAGCTTCCAACCTGTGAAAAGGAATTAAAGAAAAGCTTAAAGCCAGTTGTGGTGGTACATGCCTTTAATCCCAGCATCCAGGAGGCAGAGGCTAGTGGATTTCTAAATTCAAGGACACCCTGATATACATAGCAAGTTCCAGGATAGCCAAGTTTAGGCAGTAAAGGAAACCACTGAAAACAAAAAGCTAAAGAAAATGTAATTGAGCAAGAAGAAGAACATGACAGCTTCAGTCATATATTTCTGGCTTTAGACTCAAGGATAGAAGAAAAGGGTTTTAGAATCTCTACCCTGGACTAAGAAGAGCGACTGAGACCAGGTATGTGTCAGGGGTGTCTCTGAATAGAGGTCTAGGAAGTCATTGTATGAAGCTGTGAAGGTAAAGATTGGATTGCCTTGGAGACCCCAAGATGTTAGACATACCAGAGTCAGAGAGCTGTTAACAGGGAGTAGAACCAGCCCAAGAGAAAGTAGTGTGTCTACACTCGAAGTCAACGTAGCTGAAAGAAGTTGGAGCTCTGAAGGACATTTTGATACCAAACATGGAGGTGCAGAGCTTAGAGTTTGCTCAGCTGGTTTTTGTTCTTAGTTTGGCTCTTACTATGCTCCCTTTCCTTCATTTTGGAATGGTAAAGTATATCCCATGCCATTATATGTTGGAAGTATGTGATCTCCTTTTTTATTTTTATTGTAAAGGGGAATATAATTAAAAGATTGCTTGAGTGTAAGAAGAGACTTTGAAATTTGAACTTTTAAACAGGTTTGAGACTGTTATAGACTATGGGGAATTTAAAGTTGGACTAAATGTATTTCTTCATTATATTATGGCTACAAGCCTATAAGGTCCAGGAAGTAGAATTAAATAGTAGTTTGAATAGAAATGGACTCCATAGACTCATTTGTTTTGAATGCTTAACCCATAGGGAGTGGCACTATTAGAGGGTGTGGCCTTGTTGGAGGAAATGTGTCACTGTAGGGGCAGGTTATGCAGTCTCATATGCTCAATACACCTAGTGTGACACAGTCTCCTGCTGCCTGCAGAAGAAGATGTAGAATTCTCAGCTACCTCTCCAGCACTATGTCTGCCTGAATTCTTCCAGGCCTCCCATCATGAGGATAACAGACTAAACCTCTGAAACTTTAAACCAACCACAGTTAAATGTTTTCCTTTGTAAAAGTTGCTGTGGTAATGGTGTCTCTTCACAGCAATAGAAACCCAAACTAAGACACATATATATTAGTTTTCTTGAGATTGTATTCATGATCATTTTTTAATATTGCAAAGCACGATGTATTCTCACAGCAATTATAATTTGAGTTTAAGATTCACTTGCTATTACATTGTTAATAGTGCTGAAGATACTCTGCATGCTGTCAGAGGAGAAAACTAGTAAGTATCTCCCATTTACAAACCTTAGGACCTAGAACAAGATTCATGGTTATTGTATATGTGCTAGTATTTTGCCTGAATATTTCTTTGTATAATGTAAGTGTGTGCTGCCCACAGAGCCTAAAAGATGACATCAGATCTGCTAGAACTGGAATTTCAGAGAGTTTTTAGTTGCCAGTCCCATCCTCTGGAAGAGCAGCCAATGGTTTTAGCTTTTGAGTCACCTTAATAGGCCTTCAGTAAGAATAAAAAAAAAACACTCAATGTCATTTATCAAGAAAATGCAAATTAAAACTACTTTGAGATATTACTTCACCCCAGTCAGAGAACTATTTATCAAGAAGAAAAAGGACAAGAGATGTTCAAGAGGATGTGGGAAAAGAGGAATGCTTACGCGCCACTAGTGGGATGCAAATTAATATGGATACTATGGACATTGTTTTGGAGGTACCACAAAATTTTAAAAAGAGAATTACAAAATGACTTATCTACATACTTCTGGGCATATACCAAAGGACACAAGATTCTACCTAACACAGAAACACCTGAACATCTATGCATATTGCTACTACATTCATAGCCTAGATGTCCATCAACAGACAAATGACTAATAAAAATGTATCATACACATACAATTTAATATTAATCAGTTGTAAGTAAAAAAATCATGAAATTTGTAAAAAAGAAAAGTGGATGGGTCTGGAAAGCATTAACATTAAACAAGGTGAAACAAAACTCAAATGACAAAACCCACATGTTATGCTTCATATATGGATTGTTGCCTGTGTGAGCTTGTATGTGTGTGTGTATCTATGTGCTATGGGACTCAGAGATCAACAAGAAGCACTGTCCAACTTATGTCCATGGTTACTCTAGGCTGACTGGCTAGTGAGCCCCAGGAATGCGCTTTTCCTTGCCTCCCCAGCACTGTGATCACAAGCACTTATACCCATGCCTGGCTTTTTATGTGGGTGCTGGGGTTCAAACTTGGGTTTCCATGCTAATGGCAAGCATTTTACATACTAAGCTATTTTCCCAACTCCAACTGTCCCCTATAATTTTGCTGTCACTTCTACTTACCTTCTTGATTTTTTGGCAGAGGAACTATCTTCTCTTTATATGTTAGGGGATGAGTCATGGACACAACCAGGACCTGGAGACCCAATGAACTTACAGTTTTCAAAGAGATGTTGTATATTTTAGTGATGGTCACTGTGTTATTTGGGTTCTCAGTAAAGAACTCCTTTTGTGAGTGCACTAGGTCTTGTGAAGGGTAAATGGAGATTCTAGGAGCAGGCTTTCCCACAGCTGAACAGTGAAGGTTAAGGAGATCTTCAGAGCCAGGAACAGGATGGAGTTCAGTTATTAATTCAGATACAGCTGAGGCAAAAAGAAGGAGACAAATTAAAGGTATGCCATACCAAATTTTCTGCTATTAAAGGATATAGTGTTTTTTCTAATTTTCATGTGACACATACATGCTGAAACATATCCGTCTTGTATAACTCCCCTTACATGTCATAAAACTTCCAATACCATTTTCTCTGTTCACTGACTACTGTCTCAAGTTCTATGCAACTATAAATTATATTACATACACCCCAACACCCATGCTTACAGCAGTACAAGGAACTCTGGTGTCCTCACTAGTACTGGGACATATTAATTATTTAAAGACTGGGGAGCGCTAATTCCCTTAGTCTTCACCTTTACTTGTTCTTCTCTGATATCTCTTTCTTTTCTCATATCTTCTCCTTGCCTTGGTAGCAAAATTCTGATGCTCTTCCTGTGTTTTCTCCACTTAACAGAAACCAGCGTAGTGTAATGTAAAGAAGTGATGTGGGGTTGGAGAAGGTCCTGTCTCAGTGCATAACTGCATCAGCTGCCATTATTTTCCCCTCTCCAAGTAACCTGGACTCATCAACAGTTTTCCTTCATGTAATTCTCTGGACAATGTCCTTAAACACTGTAACTGCAGTATGCCTACCCCATTACAGAACACAGAGAAAGGGTTATATACTTAGAATGTTAAGACAGGTTTGCTCTCCATGGCTGCCATGAGGAAAAGTGTTAAACAGACACTTGTAGCAGGCTTCATCTTCAAATGTCACTTCTTGGATAGTTATGAAGGAGGCGTTGGGTTCCAGGATATTGCAGTGCATCCTGTTTACATACGGTGGGAGAATATTTTCTCCATATTTATGACTGTAAGTGCCAATATTTTCATGCAAAGAGCCTTGGATTTTCTGCCAGGTGACTTGTTCAACATTTGCCAGACTTGTCAAGTTGCAGAAGATGGTCACATTTCTTCCTAGGAGAGCGGTCTCATAATTGCTATGCTTTATCTTCTGTGAAAACTCTGAAAATGAGGTTCATTGTTAAGGGATATATACTTCCATACTTCTGCAGAGTATTCAAACAGTTCTTGTCTCCCGGCTTTGTGATCACCGTTTTCATTGCCTCTTCTACTCAGTAAAAAATGAGGCATGTGTGATGACACATTTCAGATGGAAAAAGGAACATTGTGCATTCAAGACCAAACTATGATGCATAGGTAATACTATATCTCAGTAAAAATGAAAAATTCTGGAGATTCTATGTACATTATATGTGATAGAATGCTTGCCTATCACATTCAAGGCCCTGAATTGGATCAGAAGTATGAGAGAGATAGACAGACAGACAGACAGACAGACAGACACAGAGACAGCGCCAAAGAGAAGAGGGAGAACTATAGTATGTTCTTCAACATTGAATATCTATTTTCTAAAATGGTTTCTGAAGCATACTATCTAATAAATACATATTAATGTTAAAAATTAAGAAGTATAAATTTATATATAAGATAATATGTATGCATATATACTTAACAGACATATATATATATGACCAAGCCCATATCATTACTAAACTATATATGTACACATATAACATAAAGTATATATTATTACACCCTGACTGGATTACTCATATGCTTACTTAAGGTGATCAACTTGTTTATCAAGAAAATAAAGGTTAAACTGAGGGATACATGCATGTCTACAATAAAAGGCAACTAATGTCAAGCTGGGGAATGTGCAGAAACAATACATGTCACATACACAGCTGAAGAAAGTGGAAATTCTATTGGTTGCTTAGTGAAAATCCTTTGAACATAAACATTCCCTATAAGAAGTAAGTCTACTCATACCATTAATCTCACATAAGTGCATGCATGTGTTCTCTAAAAACATGGATAAAGATATTCATATGAACATAATGTCATGTTCTATTCCTACTCCTCTTCCTCCTCCTCCTCCTCCTCCTCCTTCATCTCCTCCTCTTCTGCTTTTTCTGTTGAGACAGGGCTTCTCTATGTAACAGCCCTAGCTATCCTGGAAATCACACTGTAGACCAAACTGGCCTTGAACTCACAGAGATCTGCCTCCCAAGTGCTGGGATTAATGGTGTGTGTCACTACCACCCGGTTATTTGTCATCGTAAAACCAAATTGCAAAATAAGAATTTATTTTGTAGCACATTGCATTGGATGGGCCCACACTTATGGGCGTAAGGGCAGGACACATTAGACTCAGTCAATTAGTTTTTTTATTTTAATTTTTAAATTTAAATTAGAAACTAGGTTGCTTCACATGTCAATTCCAGGTCCCTCTCCCTTTCCCTCCCCTCCTCCCACCAACCACTCCAATACCCCCCCCATTTCCCCAGGGAGGGTGAGGCCCTCCATGGGGGTGTCCATAGTCTGTCATTTCATCCAGGGCAGGGCCTAGACCCTCCCCCAAGAGTCCAGGGTTAGAGTGCATCTCTCATTGTTGGATGGGCACGCAAAGTCCATTTCTGTGCCTGGGATGAATACTGATCTACTACCCAAGGCCCAATAGATTACCTAGGCCTCCTCACTGACACTCACATTCAAGGGGTCTTGAACAGTCCCATGCTGGATTCCCAACCATCAATCTGGGATTCAAGAGCTAACCCTTGTCAGGTTTGCTGTTTCTTGAGGTTAAACCAGCCCAGTCTTAATCCCTTTGCTCATCAGTCGTCCCTCTCTGTCACTGGATTCCTTGAGTTCAGCTCAGTGTTTAGCTGTGGGAGTCTGCCTCTGCTTCCATCAGCCACTGAATGAAAGTTCTGTCTTTCAGACTCTCTAGCTTGGGATTGTAGGCTGACACTCCCCAGATCTATGTCTAAAATCTATATATGAGAGAGTACATGCCATGTTTCTCTTTTTGTAACTGGGTTTCCTCACTCAGAATTATTTCTTCTAGTGCCATACATTGGTTTTTTTTCTGCTGAATAGTGTAAATGTATCACATTTTCTCTATCCACTCTTTGGTTAAGGGGCATCAAGGTTACAAGTAATGCTGCTATGAACATAGTGGAACAGATGTCCTTGTTGTATGAATCTGAATCTCTAGGTTATATGCCTAAGAGTGGAGTTGCTGGGTCTTGTGGTAGGCATATTCCCATTTTTCTAAGGAATCTACATATTGGTTTCCAAAGTGGCCGTACGAGTTGGCACTCCACCAGCAGTGGAGGAGTGTTCCCCCTTTCACCACAACTTCTCTAGCATAAATTGTCATTAGTGTTTTTAATTTTAGCCATTCTGACAGGAGTAAGATGGTATCTCAGAATTGTTTTGATTTACATTTCCCAGTTTTCTAAGGATGTTGAACACAAAGACACAACTAAGAAAGAGAACTTCAGACCAATATCCCTCATGAACATTGATGCAAAAAATACTTAACAAAAAAATGGCAAATTGGATCCAAGAATACATCAGAAACCTCATCCACCATGATCAAGTAGGCTTCATTCCAAGGATGCAGGGATGGTTCAACATACGAAAATCCATCAATGTGATCTACCATATAAACAAACGGAGAAACAAAAAGCACATCATCATCTCACTAGATGCAGAAAAAACCTTTGACAAAATCCAACAACCCTTCATGATAAAGGTCTTGGAGAGATCTGGAATAACAGATACATACCTAAACATAATAAAAGCTATATACAGCAAACCAACAGCCAACATGAAACTGAATGGAGAGAAACTCAAGACAATTCCTCTAAGATCAGGAACAAGTCAAGGCTGTCTCCTCTTCCCATATCTCTTCAATATTGTACTGGAAGTTCTAGTTAGAGCAATAAGACAACAAAATGAGATCAAGGGGATAAAATTTGGAAAGAAAGAGGTCAAACTTTCACTATTTGCAGATGACATGATAGTTTACATAAGTGACCCAAAAAACTCTACCAGGGAACTCCTACAGCTGATTAAAACCTTCACCAACATGGCAGGATACAAGATCAACTCAAGAAAATCAATAGCCCTACTATATACAGATGATAAAAGGGCTGAGAAAGAAATCAGAGAATCATCACCCTTTACAATTGACACAAACAACATAAAATACCTTGGGGTAGCACTAACCAAACAAGTGAAAGACCTATATCGCAAGAACTTTGAGTCTTTAAAGAAAGAAATTAAAGAAGACACCAGGAAATGGAAAGATCTCCCATGCTCTTGGATAGGTAGGATCAATGTAGTAAAAATGGCAATCCTGCCAAGAGCAATCTACATATATCTTTTTGTGTTTGGATGGAGTGGTGCTTGGCTCCCACCGGGCCAGGGGGTTATTTTTTAAGGGATATGAAGTTGGACTGAGGAAGTAAAGGTGGATCTGAGAGGAGTTTAAGGAGTGGAGGCAAAATATGTTCAAAGTACATTATATAAAATCCTCAGATAATTAATAAAATATGTTAAAAAAGAATAGGTTGCATAAAATTATAATACTACACAAAGAAACTCACTCCAAAATGAGATTTAATAAACTATATTTCCTCTAAAATCATGGATAAATTCTACCAGTATATTAAAGAACCAGAAACAAATAAATAGATGCTAAGTGGCCATGTATTATTTTAAAGTTATCAACTGATAAAATAAACCCACATTGTAAGTGGCTAAGATAAGGAGACCATTATCTTACATTAAATAAGAATGGTCTCCATAGGCTGATATATTTGAATGTTTGGTACTCAGAGAGTCAGATTACTTGAGGGGAATTAGCAGGTGTGGCCTTGCAGGAGTAGGTGTGGCTTTATTTCAGGAAGTATGTCACTGAAAGCACTCTTTGAACTATAAAAGTGCAAGCCAGGTCCAGTGTCTGTCTCTTCTTGCTGCCTGTGGATCTGGACATACAAGTCTCACCTACCATGTCTGTTTGCATGCTGCCTTTCTCCCTGCTATGAGGATAATTTACTAAACCTCTGAAACTGTAAACAAGACCAAATTAAATGCTTCCTTTTATAAGTATTGCCTTGGTCATAGTGTCTCTTCATAGTGATAAAACAGTGGCTAAGACAGAAGCAGGGACTGGAGACCAGGATATTGCTGTGACAGAACTGACCATTCTTCTGTAGGCATAATGTAGACTTTGGAACTTTGTACTAGAAAAACAGCTGAATGCTTTAAGCATGGCTTAATGGGTCATAGTAGTAGCAATGCTGTAGTACTTAGAGCAATGTAGATTATGATGATCTAGCTGAAATGTTTTAGAGTAGAATAGTATTAGGAAGTGATATAATGGTTGTTCTTGTGACATTCTGGCAAAGAGTGTGGCTACTTTTTGCCCTTGTCCTAAAAAATTGTCCTACACTAAATTGAAGAGTTTAGGAATAATGGCATTGGCAGAGGAGATTTCAAGAGAGAGACTAATGTTGACTCTATTATATGGTTCTTAGTAATCACACCTATGCAGATATATAATGAAAAGGATAAGGCTGAGCAAGGAAAAATACAAAATGTACAGTTTGAGGAGAAAAGGAGCAGCATGAATTGTAAGGAAGTTTTCGTTGGTAATTAAGATAAATTTTTTTAAAAGCAAACCTGATGCTAAATGGATTAAAGGGAACAAAGACCAGTTGGCAAGACCCCATACAGCTAAGCTTCCCAACTGTGGTAAGGAATTAAAGTAAAGTTTAAGCAGTGATGAATATTGACAATAAAAGGCTGGTGGAAATACATTTGAAGAAGTGACTCAAGTTCCAGTCCCAGCAAGCAATGGAACTTGGCAGCTTTGGCCACATGGGTTTGGCTTTAGAGTTAAGAATACAAGAAAGGGCCTGTGGAGTCTCCCTCTGCAGTTAAGTAAAGATGCTGAAGCCAGACATATGTCAGCAGTGTCCCTTTATGGAGGCTCAGAGAGACCACTGAATGAATCTATGATGGTGAAGCTTGGATTTTGTTGAAGAACTCAAGATGCTGGAGATCAAAGAGCCATAGGATACCTGCCAAGGAAATCTGTTTGCAGAGCATGTGTGGAACCAGCTCAAGAGAGAGGAGTGCTTCAG